AAGTGCGCACTAAACAGCGCAACGATTTGCCGCACTATGTGAGGCTGCAACTGCCACACAGCACTCGCATTGTGCAACCTGCAAATCTGAGCTAGCTGCCTGCATTGTTGTTGTTGTTGTTGTTGTTATTGGTGTTGTTGTTGCTGTCATTGTCATCAGCAGCAGTTGTGTGTGTGTGTGTGTGTGTGTGGCGAATTTTTGGACTCCACGCCATCGCTGTAGTTGGTGCCACGAGCCGACGAACGGGAAATTCAATCAGAGATGCGCATTGAAGGATTAGAGGGCGACTCCGTCCCAGACTCCGACTATATATACAGACATATATATGTATGTAGCTATGGCAGTGGCACCCCAGCGAAAATTGCATTTACTGCCGCGATGCGTTGGCGTATTTTTCGCCAACCAGACCCTAGCAGACAGACAGACAGACAGACAGACAGACATCGGCAGTTGCCGCCTGATTGCGTTAATGGAATTAAAAATGTATTATTTTTTATGGCATTTTCAATGCACTTTTCCTGCCGCGCAGAGTTGGGATTTGCTGGGGATCGGGAGGTAACCCACAATTTCCTCTCTAGCTGGTGACGACAATTGCTGTTTCTGCTGGCTGCTGTTGATTGACTTGTGTTTCGTTTTAATTTTGTTAATTCAAATTAATCAAGCGAAGTAATAATTTTTTTTTATTATTCATTTCTGTGCTGTGTCTGTCCTCCCCATTATGGCTAAAGTGCATTGGCATTGGGTGCATGAATATGCATGATCGAATGAATGGGTTTGCTGCATGGGCAGACATTCGAAAAGGAGAAGACAGAGAGAGACATATGCACGGAGAGAGTGGGGGGGGAGTGAGAGAAGAGAGCCGCACATTTCCACTTTGTTTGTTCAATTAATGCAATTGCTGTCGCGCATTTGTTGCTGCTTTTTGACATTATTAATTTATATTTGTGTATTTCTTTGTGTCGCTGCTGTTGTTGCATAATGTGCTGCCAACGTCGCTGCTGTTGTAAATTTAATTACATTGATGCGTTTTAATTAATTTGACTTTTATTTTATTTCTGTTCGTTTGTTTCCAACGACAAAGCTCAGCTGTTTGGCGTGGCTTTATAGACAAGAGAAATTTGTATTGTGTGGAAGAAAATGTATTTATGTCAACAAACATTGACTGTCCACATAGGAGGAAAACATATAAAAATTATAGAAAGCATCTTATAAGCTAAAAAGGAGAAATCTAATCAAATTACAATCAAATCTAATAATATCTAATTGAAAACAAACTTTTTGTAGGCGGATGAAGGAAATGAAGACTGTAAGCTGATTTTATTACTAATTGTTAAAACTTGCCTTAAAACACATTTAAAAATCTGAACAATTCTTAGCCTGCAACAAAGCATTCATCGAGCAGTGCTTTAAGCCTTTCCCTTTCAATCGTAAATAGCTCAGAAGCTCAGCCCACACTGAGAATCTCAGATTGTAATATCAGTGAAGATGCTGTTGTTGCTGTATTTATTTATCGACATACTTATATTGACAAATATGCAATAATGTGTACATTAACTAAGAAGCAAAAACGCGTTAATGTGAAAGAATTTGTTTTTATTCATTTGAAACAAAGTTCATGTAACTAGAGGAAGTCTTAATTTTGTCTTGATTTTTACAAAGAGTTGAAAGTTTTTAAGGCTCGTTAGACAAAGCTATCAAGACTCCACATAACTTCTTTCATAATTTCACGTATTTCTGCTAATTCTTTGAAATTTCTTTGGGTTTCACAAACAAGTTTAAGGGATCTAGAAGCCTTAGATCTAAATCTATTTATCATATTTAAGGAATCTGTGTCAGTTATTTTAAATACCTTTAAGTGTTAATAAAAGGGACGCAGATGAATTGAAAAATTGTAATTGTACAACGAAGAACAATAACATCATTTCGGCATCTTTAATCTTTAATTTGTGAGTATTATGTCTAGGCAATATCTTGAGTAAATGCTGTTTTCCAAGAGCTGTCCTTTTTAAATAAACTTGCCACAATTTTTATTCGTTACTAAGACTGCTTCAGACATCATACATTACTTAACATTATTTACAATATGGCTTCTTGCAAACTTTCTCCCAAAACTAATATGGTTGTTTTTTATTTATAATTTTTTTTTGGTTTTTGTCAACAAATTAATTGATTATTTTTTTCAAAAATAAGTAGTCGTAATGGAACGAGGCAAGGTCCATATTCTCTTTCAGCAAACAGTTCCTAATCATTAATTATTATATCTATATATAGATACAAAATATCTTATGCTACAGAACTTTCTTCTGAAAGTTCGTCTAAATAAATACAAAAATACAAAAAACGCGCAATCGCTTTTAACATTTTCAAAATTCTCGAACCCATCAGTTAAGTATTTCTATATAAAACGTTTCAAATATTCTTTCCATTGAAAGATACTTATTGTTAGTCTCAGTAAAAACCAATCACTGTCATGGCTTTTAATCTTACATCTAACCCATTTGTTGCAGCCAGTCTGCCAGTGTGTGCCAGTCCATAACTGATTCAAGGTCAGTCTGGCATTGCCGCCGTAACATCATTACGCACTCATACACACACACACACACATACACACTCACACACATGGCGACTATAAAACCCCATAATAGACTTATCGGCCTGCAAAATCTCAGCTCGCCAAATCGCGACTAAACAGCGCACAGATACGCGGCGCAAACATAACTGCCATAATTCGCCATAACTGCCCAGACAGACAGACAGACAGACAGACAGACAGACAGACAAACAGACGGACGACCAGACAGCAACTGACGTTGACGTTGACGCTGATGTTGATGTTGATGTTGAGGGCGTGAAGTGGCAATATAGCCGCCATACCCATCCATTTTCTCTATCCACGTGCGCTGCACACCGGCTGGCCCAGGCCCAGGCTCAGGCCGGACCCGGCCCGGCCCGGCCCGGCCCGACCCGACCCGACCCGGATCGACTCGATTCGACGTGAGCGCCTACCGTCCTCATCCCGCTCACATTAGAGCCACTTAAACGCATTTGCAAAATTGTCTGCTGCCGCCACCCACACTCACACCTACACCTACACACACACACACACACACACACACACACACACCTACACAACACTGCACTTTTTTTCAGCATCTGATGTGTTGAGTGTTTTGTGTGTTTCTATGCGAAAAACTGAACGCGTGATAATTTTCCAAAACAGCACACAACCGACATGGATACGCGTCCCCCTCCTCCTCCCGCTCTATGTCGTCAGTGTGGCTGACACTACAGATGATGCTGATAATGACGATGATGAGGTTATCACTTGCAAAAAGTAAAGTGCATCCGTTTTTAGAACAGTCCGTCCCGGCGTCCGGCGCGCATAATCAAACTAAACTGGCGCAGACGCGACGCTCCAAAAATTGCAACGCTCGTGTCCGAACAAAAGTCCAAGTCCAAGAGGTATGATCGAGAGGTAATGACAACTATTGCCGAGACAGGGAGATAATGTTTGGGGTTTCCCAAATGGACACGATTCAGATTTCTAGGGACAAGTTTAAGCTCTCCAAAGAAGCTTTGTATGATGTTTAGTTTGAAAAGCGAGGCTTCAAGTGAAGGTTAATTAAGTTAGACCCACGGCTTTATCAAGCTGAAGCTACAGCCATACAATAAGTCCAACCCAGAAGAATGATCGAGAGTTATTTAGAGATGTGGAGATATGTAATATTGGGTTATTTCCATTATTGTGTTCTAAAGTCACCCACAAAGACTGCTCAGTTCATAGTTGCCCAATATCAGATTGACAAATCAGAGGACGATGTCCATCTCAATAAGTCAATAAACATTACATTAAATAATTAAAGAACACAACGACATTGAGAGGAACTATGTTACGAGCTGGCGAGAAAGAACTAGAACCTAGCACTCTTATTTCAAAAATAAATATATATATTTAACAATCATATTGCACCTAAGAATTATCTCACATGGGCGTCCTGTAAAGCTTTTTTCTGCAGGGATAGAAAAACGAGAAGAACTAGAACCTAGCACTCTTATTTCGAAAATAAACTTTAACTTATTGAATGGCGACTTCGTCCAATTAACAATCATATTGCACCTAAGAATTGTCGCACATGGTCGTACTGTAAAGCCTTTTTAAATGTGTCTAGCTTTCTAGTAAGTATATAGAAGCCACCACAGAAAACAAACGAGAAAATAGAAGTTACATTCAATAATTTATAAGTTATTGACATCATTGCTAACATCTTGTATACGAAACCTTTGAGCTGTCTCTGATCTTGTCTATTTCTAATTCTAAGCGAATTTCTGCTGCTCCGAATTAAATTGATCATCGCCCGCATAAGTCTCTTCAAATATATTATTCTCATTCAATGATTCCTGCATCAGCAAACAAAAGATTGGTAAAGCGAGTTAATCACTTATATGGAATCAGACGTGTGCTAGTGGGAAAGGAAATATCATTGAACAAATCGTCCCAGAGTGCCGATTACCAGGAATAGTTAACACGATGATCTACAAGAGCAGTTGCTTACTATTTCTCTGGCTGTTTGTATCTCAATAAAGGAGATTTTGGCCAGCATACTTGTATAGCAATAACGAATAAGCTTTCAAATCTTAATCGAATCACCTTACTAAGTATCACCCATTAATTATGCGTTTTGATGAGTGACTGACAGAAAGTCTGTATATATTGGGATGCAATTTAAGTTTAAAGAAATTTCGACTTCTACGACTGGGACTTGGAGATCTTGATGAATGTCAGTCACTTCTTTTGACACGTTTTAAAACGATGGGCGAATTCATCTCTAAGCTGAAGGGCTGCTTTTTAATGTGGAAACTGTAATAAGGATGCTGCTATTTTCTTTACCCTTTCAATCAAATTACATCAATAGTTCCTAGTTTTAATAGTCAACATATTTGCTTCAAAATTTATGTCGTTCCTCGTTTCATCTCATTAAAAATGTCATTAGAACATGTAACTTTCTTAAAACAGCTGTGATCTCCGTTGAGTTTTGCATTTTCGTTTGTTGAGCTCTTCATTTTACACTTCCTAGCAATTGATATAAGTAGCCTTCAGATTACAAATTGTGAGCAAAATGTTTATGGAATTCAGACGATCCTCCCTCTCGGCTGATCAGTCGATGCCGGGGATGTCAACACCGCGTCACTCGCTGCTCTCGGGTCGTTTCAAGCAAAGCTTCGCTTACCTGACCTTAAGGACCCGCATGCCCGGCATCATGCAACAGATTATTTCCCATATGCAGAACAATACGCCTGAGCTGGTGGATGAGTTTGGCGAGGATGTGCGCAAGGATATTACTAGTATAGTGGATGCCATAGAGCGACTGAAGGTGGACCTGAATCGGGATCGTTACTTTACGCTCTTTCACGGCGACGAGCCGGACCAGGCGAAGTGGAATGCGTTTCTGAGTGAGCTTCCAAAGCCGAAAAGGAGTTACTTTCGAGCCTGCTGGCTTCATGCTGAGTGCTATCTCTATCGGCGCATCTTTTCGTTCTTCGAGCACAGTCAGTATCTGAAAACGTACGACTACTTTGCCCATCTGAAGCAGGAGGATCTGAAGATCAGTGTGCCGTCCATGAAGGTTCTGGCTACGGCCACAAGGCAACTACAGAAGGATTGGACGACCTTCAACAAACTGATGCGCCTGAGCTTGTGGAGCAACCACTTTGAGATTCAAATGAATGCGATATTGTTTGAGGGTCCAAAAAATGAGAAGATTGATGTTTTGTCGTTATTAATCGACTTGGACCATCGGATTCTGGCAAATGAATCCATGCTGGTGTGGAATTGTCTGATCAAGGCCAAGAAGAGAGCACAGAAGCGTATTATTGTGGATTACGTTTGCGACAATGCGGGCTTCGAACTGTTTACGGATCTGATCTTTATCGAGTATCTGGTTGACACGGGCCTGGCCACCCAAGTGCGAATGCACGTGAAGGCCATACCTTGGTATATATCGGATGCCACAAGACAAGATATTGAGTGGACTCTGGACTTCTTGCAGCACCACCCCAGCGACATACTCTCCTCCCTTGGGCATAAGTTTGCAGAATTGTTTCGCTCCAAGCTCGTAATAATTGCGCCCCAAACGTATTTCTGGACAGGTCCACAACCGTTCTTTGTCATGGTCGATGTGGACATTGAACTCTTCAAGCTACTGGCCGGAGCCGAATTGGCCATCTTCAAGGGGGACCTCAACTATCGCAAGCTCATGGGCGATTACATTTGGGATCCCACGGAGGAGTTCATCACGTGTCTGCGCGGCTTTCGACCCACAAATGTGTGCGCCATGCGTACCGTTAAGTGCGAGGTGATTTGTGGTCTGCCCGAGGGCGTCGCCGATAGTCTAGTGCTCTCGAATCCCCAGTGGATGACATCGGGCTACTATGCTGTCATTCAGTATACGGATAGTCTCAGGTGCAATTGTTGTCTGCTGGACCAGTCTGAGCAAGATGGGATTGCATGTGATCGAGAGAAAACCGTATCTTGTAGCATATATCAGCATAGTCGGCCTGTGCGCTAAAATCGATCCGAAACGGCACAAAGATTGGACAACAAAATGGTATTGGAAGGAAAAGGAAAGGGATAAGAAGGGAGAAAAGCTCAGACTTTGGAAGGAGACTGGAATGGTGCTGGAAATCGACAAAGTAGTGAACGACTCTGGAAAGGCCTAAGAACGGCTATGGAATGACTGGAAAGGTACAGGAATAATCCTGGAATGTTGATTGGGAAAATGTATGTAAAATGTACTACAGAGATTTATATTATGAAATAAAAACCTATGACTAGGAAACTATGTAATATAATTCTTATTATTTATATTCGAGTCTTAGCATCATTTTTTTAAACCTCAAATGCAATCAATTTTGATAACTTTAACTTGTGCACAACCGTTTCATAGATTATTAATACTTGGATTTTATCCAATTCTAAAACTATGAAAATTAAATTCCCGATATTCCCAATACGTTCCTGTTGTTGGATTATTTTTTAGACTTTCGTGTGATTACTATTAAATATTATCTATTGTAATGTAACATCGATGGCATCAGTCAGCCGATGAGACTGAAAAGTTAAGTTGGAAAGAATTTCTTTGAATAAAGATCAAAATAATACGAAATTTTTACTTCCTTCCAAGTAACAGTGATGTTGGTGACTTAATTTTGGTTTTTAAAAGGGTAAATGTTTTTATTGGCAGCAACGTTTTTTGTGAACCATCAATTGTGATAAATTAGTTGATATTTATGTTTTGATTAAACCAACCAAATTTAAAGCCAACCCAATAAAAATTGCAGATTTTTCATGCAATCTTTGGAGCCCGTTTTGCCCCCTTTGGAGTTCTAATTTTCCAATATATATATAATATTCTTTTTGAGAGTATACAAACTAAGTATGAAGTTAATCGGATGAAAATTGTAGATTTTTCATACAAACGTCGAAAGCCCGTTTTCCCCCCTTTGGAGTTAGAATTTTCCAAAACAGCTTCTTAGTGAACACTTTCACTTGTAGATATTAAGTTGAGGCATCAACAACATCCATTAGATGCACTTGCAACTATTCTATCTTATATCAGTATATCTTCTATCCTAAATTTTTGGACTAAGCCTCGCATATATCTCGTATATATCTGTATGCATGTATATACGGTTGCATTTCGCAGTTCTTTTGTCTTTCGGTCGCAGTCGAATTAGTCGAGCATTTTTCGCCGGTTCGTTCGAATTTGATTGTGTCAATTGGCTCGCGCGCGCGCTTTCAGCTCAAATGCCACGAATCTCTGCCAGATGTCGTCTATATGTCCACTTGACGCTCACGCTGATGCTGATGCTGATTTTTGTGCAAAATTATGGCCGGTGTGTGCGAAATCAGCAACGAAAACGCTCTAAATTGAATTATGACTGCACCGCCCGCTGCTACTCGTTCGTATAAATTCGTATAACTGCAGCAACCATGTCCAAGTGTCGCACATTGTGGTGGCAACCCTTCAACGCTTTCAACATCTTCGACGCCCGCATGCTGATCTATTGCTGCTGCTGCGTCGTGTGTTGTCGTCATCGTGTTTTTGTTGTTTTATTCTTATAAATATTTTGATTGAATTTTCTGTTTAATTAAACCAAATTGTTTGTAAATAGACTGCAAGCTGTTTTATTGTGCCGTTTGGTGAGCTTTGATTAGAGAGCGTATGCCTTAAAGGGGGGTACACCCCACCGTTGCATGAAAACGATCTGAGCAGACATACTTAACATAACATATATGTTGAGATCAATAAAGATTCAGTTGAAGTATTTTGAAAGAAAACAATCATTTTCTATGACTTTTCTAATTTGAAACTGTTTTCAACAAAGACTGCATCTAGAGAAAAGTATTTAAAAGCTTTAAAGTAAATAGCTTCAAAGAATGTGAAAACTAGCCTTATTTTAAAACGTACAGCAAAGATTATTTCAAAAAACAAATTTTAAGAAAAAAGAAAACTTTGTGGAGAGAGAAAACTTTTGTTCTTTCTACTTACGCAAAGATTAAAACACAGTTCTTCAGATAAAGAATTGGGTCCTGAAGTTTCAATAAAATTTGGAATCGGAAGCCATAAAAGGAATGATATTAAAAAGTACTTGATATCAGTTTTCCAATTGGGTCTGTTATCCTTATATCGTTTCCTATCAGACTAAAAATTGTGAAAAATCCATTATCACAAAAGAAATGTTAAAACAATAACGAAAACAAATTAGACAAACACATAGAAAACCAATTACCATTAGTTATATAAATTGACTTTTCTTCTTTGATTTATAGAAAAATAGATTCTGTTGATCCCAAGTGCCCTCAAGAGCGACAAAGTAACGGAAGGGCAAAGGCTGAACCCAAAACCAATGCAGTATTGTAAGAAATCTGAAACCTGAAAATCTACTTAGCCCAAGGTTATCCGTAGATCTTGTGAGCCCAACCATCACCAGAAGTTTTAAGAAATTGAAGAAATCAGGTAAAAATCAGTAAACACTAAGAAATAAGTAGAGAGCAAGCTCCTAACCATATTGTATGTATTATATTTCAAAGGAGGAGAGAAGAACGGATTGAGATAAATTTTCAGATTTCTTATAGTTGGTTTTCGATTAAAAAAGCTAGGAGATAAAAAACACTTCACGAACAAGTGGCTCCACTGACCTTACCAATCATTAATGGATTAATATTGCCAGTTAGGTGGCAGACCATTCGCCATCTTTTAGAAATTTATGCTATAATTTCTAGGCCATTGCCATTGCTTCATAGTCCGAAGCACGGACTTGTAGGCTGAATCCGATTATAGAGGCCAAACACCTTTTGCCTAGGCTCTTGATCTGACATCCTCAGAGTTAATTTTCATTCATGATGGCACTGTTTGGGAAACACCCCAGCCAGGAGCGTGCACTCGATTAGTTTTTGTGTCACACCTCTTTATATAAAATAATATTTTAAATATACGTCTATGTTGATATTTCGTGGAATTTTAAAATTCCCTCCATGTATGTATCGCTGTAAATTGTTCACACAAAGACTCGTATGTAAATATTTGACGTTCTGAATTATTGTATTAAATGGCTTCTCTTTTATAGCTCGCATGCAATCCCTATATGTATATGGCTTTATTAAACCACCAATTTGTGTAACTCTCCCTCCTCTCTTCTTGCTCTGTCTCTTGCGTCGCATGATTCATAGTTTTGTCAAAAATTTCCATCTAAATAGCATTGCCCTATTTCTGTTTGTGGCCCGGCTGGTTAAAAATACCAAAAAAATGTTTTCAATTTCAATAGAAATTCAATCAACCAATCAATAAACATGCAACTAACCTCCCATAGACATGGGACCAAGCCATTTGCCAGATAATTTTATTTGCTAATTTAAATGCGCCAAATTGTATTTTATTTTTACGACTATGCGCCGCCGCCTCCCGCCAGCCGACCCATCCTACCACGTCCCTCTAATTGAGTTGAACGAAATGAAAACGAATCAGCTCGACGGCGACAGCCCAACAACAACAACAGCAACAGCAACCAAAGCAAAACGAGACGAAACGTGGCCGAATGCCGCCATCATCAGCAGCAGAAGCAGCAGCAGCCCCCATCTCATGGCCCCCAGCCTGACCCTCCAATCGAGGGAGGACCACTCCATTGGAGCAGCAGGGTCGGGAAGGAGGCGGTGTGGATGCCATCGAGTAGGGCGCACAACGTTTGCATGGCTGCCAATTAATTTGCGGTTGATCAATTTAATTTGAAACTTCGTTTCAATTTCTTTTTTTTTTCCATTTTTTGCATTTCTGTGTCGCTTCTTTTCGATGCCGGCTTGGTCGGTCACCTCCCAGAACCCACGCTTTAATTTGTTGGCGCGTTTCGGATTCGTTTGGCAAATTATTGGTCATTGATTTTGTGCCATCAGTGTGTGTGTGTGTGTGTGTGTGTGTGTGTGTGTTTGTCTGTTTGCCCTACCTATGTGGGTGTGGATCCATGGTGCCCTCGGTCTGGTTGAGCGCACTTAGGAAAAAAGTTGTTCTGCTTGAACGAGGAAAATCTTCTGTTCTACTACATTTTCATTTTGAAAATCAATATCGGAATCTTAGAGAAATGTTTAGGTATGATCAGGCAGGCAAAAAATCTGCACACAAATTTGTCAAATTTCCCAACACTTGTCTTGTCTCTATTTTAAAAAAAATCCAATAGCATTAAATTCTCTTTTGGCATTTACTTTTCACTTGTAAAAAAAAAACTTTTTGCGCAAATTATTTGCACGGCTGTTGGTAGCTTTGCTAATTAATTACATCCTTTTTTTTATTTATTTTTTATTTAATCTTTATTTAAGATCTGTCCTAAGGAGGACAATTATTTAATGTTATGGTATAAATTAAAATTTATTTATTTATTCAACTTCTTTCTCTAAATACTTCTATTAGGTTTGCCCAACAATTTATAATATTTATATGTTAGTTTATTTTTCCCAGATCAAGGCTTCTATATTCAAATTATTTTTGCAAATAAGGCTGTAAGAGTGCAAATGGTTTGAGGGACATTTTGACTCGAATGATTATATATGCGCCAAATACACATAATCGATTATTATCAATTCCAATCGTGAGAGCAATAGCTAGAAAAACAGAAGGCTGAAATATCGTTTTTTAAGAAAGTATTGGGGTATATGTTTTTATATTACTCAGAAGAACATGTTGTTCTTTCTATATCGAAACCAAAACCTCAGGGGCCGATACAATTGTGTTTACGTTAGCTACGGAATTAATTAGCCAAAAAAAAAAACTTTTAGAAGGTAGTGTAAATAAGTTCCTTGCATGATTCGGCAGAAACTTTGTGACCAACCAATTGCTAACTATATATTTATAATTCATTCCAGATCAGAAAGGGAAGCGGCAACACGGCTCTAATTGCAATATTCCCATCATAAAACTGCATCAAATGTAAGCGAAAAATGTAAATAATTTCTGTACAAAGATCAAAACACTACACACAAATCGTCAGTAAAAGTACAGGCACATCTGTAAGTATTTTTATTAACACGCTTTTATTAGCTTCACCTGTATGTGTGTATATTTTTATGTATGTAACGGAATCTTTCTGGGCAATTTTTTTTTTTAAGTAAATCTTAAAGTTGTTTTTCATTATAGCAGAAAATTTCACTTGAATATTGGATTTTTATTAGTTTTAGAACCATTCTAAATAAATATCTATTTTGTAAAAGTATTGTACCTTTTGAAACTTACTTAGTAGAAGGGTGAACAAGATTTAAAACAATTGCTTCTCTAAATTTAGGTTGTATTTATTCTATTCTTTGTCTTCCTATCTTCCTATCTTCATATAAAAATATCAATACACACGGTTTTTTGCTCGATGCTTAACAAAAATAAGAGCGCGATTGTTTTACAATGAGAAACTACTTAATTGATATACTTTTTATTACTATTTGTTGCATTACTATTTGCCTAGATTTGTTGTGAAATATATGTCTTATATCTGATTGAAATATTTCTTGCACTGCATCAGCTTTATCCCTCAGTGTGTATAGAGTATAGTCTGCTTTTTATAGTCGACACAACTGGGGACCGCAGCTCCGGCACTCTTTTTAATTACCATCAATTATTCAAACAGCATTTGCGAGTGATCAACTTTTGGTCTTCTGGTCTTCAATTGAGTTGGGAGTGTTGCAATTGCTGTTGTTATTGCTGTTGTTGTTGCTGTTGTTGGTCGCCAGTATTCTTCTATGTCTGCACTAAATTCATTTGTCTGCTTTATGCTAATTGAACTTTTTGCCTTCGCTGCCTTATGAAAAGTTTTGCTGCAGCCACTATTCCCAAATCTCTTTGCTGCTTTTATGCCAGCTCGCTTCCTCTTAGCTGAAGCTTTGTTTTGCTGGCTTTTTCAGATTCTTATCCGGCCCCTAACCGCCAGTGAAGTGTTCACACAGCATTCTGGTTGTGCGAGATCTGACAGGAAAGGCATGAACCTAAACACTTTTGGTGTGCTCGTATCAGGCACTTCACCTACCTACCTACCTACATACTTAAATGCCTATTTAAATATGTGTGCGAGTGTGTGCTTCAGATTTTTATCACTTCAAACTCATTAGGACATTATTAATGAAAATTAGCAGACGATTTAATAAATTATTATTATATGATTTCATTTTCATACTTTTTTGTCAGCCCTTCAACATACTTTTTTGGGTATTTCATAATACCTTACATAATGTAAGGGAGTAAAATAATTTGATTTTAAAAGTTAAAAAAGTAAAGTTGTGGCCGCCAGAAAATGTGCCAAATATTTGTGTTCATTTAAAAACTAGTTCTACCAGCTAAAATTTAACAAAATATTTATGAAAAATAATCTAGTCTAATAGGCAAAACACTAAAAATATATTCCTGGATAATGCTGGTCTGCGTACCTATCCCTTATCCTACTGTCTCATGATATATTTTGTACGATTAAGGCCAACCAATATGATTACCAGAGAAATAAAAAGAAAATTTGTTAGTGCGATTTTTGAACCAAGCTTTGCTGTGGCTGCTATCAGATATAGTCTGCAGATTTTGATTAAGTTTCAGATTATAGTGAGGCGTTGCTGGCACGAGCCAGTATATACAATACCATATAATAATAAAATGTTCCTCATTTGTACCTAAATGTAATGCCATCGCTTTTGGCTTTAACGTATAAACTATACTATTCTCATACATGGTCAGAAATGTTGGTAGACTGGTGCTTCACCTTCAAAACTGCTTAATAAATCATCTATAAGCGGCTCAGGGATTCTATTTTCAGTTTCAATAAGCTTCCAAATCTTTAATAATAAGCCATATGCAGATGAAAATAGGCCTCTAAGAAGACTCCTGCAACATAATCATACCTGGAAGCTTGTCATCGATTGGCCTATCGAATTATTAGTCTCCTAACTTAAGTCCGATAGAAAATCTTTGGGGGGAGCTTAGGTTGAAGCTTCAAATTTCTACAGAAACGTTTCGAAATGCTGAGCAGTTATGGGAGATTGTCGTCAAGAATTTTCGTAGATTTGTTTCTTGGTTTATGTCAGGAAGGATAACAAAAGTCAGACAAAAAAAGTACCGGTTACTTGTTAAATAATATTGTTAATAAAAATGTAGTCTACAGAATACGCAATTTCCATCAGCTTTTACAGCCAAATATTTACACAAAACATTGATTAGCCTTTCCAATAGTTCGTTTTAAAAGTTAGAAAGTTACTCGGAATTTTGCGACGTGAAATAATCGAAGAAACCATAAAGATTTCTAAAATGCAAATATCAGAAGATCCTTAAAGTAATCGTTGCATCTAGAATCTTCACCAAGTGGCATTTGAAAGTGGTGGAAAAGTGTTGTTATTTCAGACGCTAATAAATGTTTGTTGATTGAAAAATGTTGATATTTCAGAGGCTAATAAATGTATGTAAAATAAATAAGGAACAGAAAGCGGCTGTAAGAAATTCTAGAACTTAAATAAGCAACTAGCCCTTGCAACTAGAATCTGCACGGATCAACAGCTGATTAGCAAATTCCCGCAATGACTTCAAGGTTTGTAGAGGGGAAAGAATGCGCAGGCTTCTTCGTTTATACATAATTAAAATACATTACGTATTTCCGCTTTAGGGAGCTTCCCTGCTGGAGTTCTGGAGTTAAAATAGTTGCTCTTTGTCGGCCACTTACCTTGTTACCGTCCGTGAAAATTTTGGCAGTAGTTCTTCAAGCGTTGCACAGAAAAAGAATCCTTTCTTGCTCGTTTTTTTTGTTGGAAAACTTTGCCGTTTAGAAGACAAAGGTTGTTAAACACGCACACACAACAGCCCTTTCTCTCTGTCACATACACACACACACTCACACACACGCACAGCTACACGTGTAAAAACTTTTGGGTTTAAAAGGCGTAGAAAAACACTTGCTGGCAAGTTTAGAACGTGCGTGCAACTTCAGTTATATTCTGTTGTTTTCTTTGAGGTCCTTTGAACAAAGACCCGCTTGCAAATGCTGAGGGCGACGGCAACAAACACACAAACAGGTAGAAATTTGCGTCACAGTCAATCAAATGCGTAATTAGCCGCAAAAGTAAAAAGTTTACAGTTGGCAATAAAATACGTGAGCTTAAGCTTTTGATAGTTCGGTGTTTTAGGGGCAGTTTGAAGCGCCTGGTTGACTATTGTCTTAACACTTTAACACACACACACACACACAAGTCACTGGGGTTGAAGTTTTTGCTTGTTCTAAGATTCTGCGAGATTGCACTTAGCCGCAGCTGAATTTTGCAATATATCGCCAAATGGGTTTGTGAGTCGAGTCGAGTCGCGTCTTTGTAGAACCTATCGTTTCACAGAGTTTTGCGTGTTGATGTTGAATGCAACCGAACGCGTGCAACGCCAAAATGCGAATGATCTAACAGAGCCGACGCCGACAACGTCGCCGTGGCCGTTGCCAACTGCTGCCAGCATCGCTGTCGACTGCGCTGCTTCGCTGCTATTGTGGTGCGCAAATTAGATCTGCCTTGCTATCTGCCTGTCAGTCACTGTGGCTGCTGCGCTGCTGCTGCTGCCTGCTGCTGCCTGCGCTGCTGCCTGCTGCTGCCTGCGCTGCTGTTGTTGCCCATGTCGTTACCTAAAAGATGGCCGCATGTGCGTGTACCGTTAGAGGGGGTTGGGTAACACTTTGTGCCCCTAAGCGCCGCCTTTTTGCACAATATTTCCCTTTATTTACAACACGAAGCGCGTGCGCTCAGTCAAAGCTAACGGGCTCTCGCTCACTCTCTCTCGCACATTGGCAAATGCGCGCTCGCTCACTCTTTCATGCAAAAACTGCTGTGCAGCTGCAGATGTTGTTCTTGTTGTTGTTTTTGTGACTGTGACACGTAAGACAATTTTCTCATTTTTCGCAGCAGCAATTTTCTTCGCGCATTTTCATTGTGAAATTGAATTTTCGGCACGGGTGGCTAGAAGCGCTAGAGAGAGAGACAGAAAGAGAGAGAGGAGGACTGTGTGTGCGTGTGTGTGTGTGTGATGAGAGTGAGGGCAGCAGCAGCAACAACAACAACAACAACAACAGCAGCATCATCAGGCACGTTGTTGTATTCTTGACTTGCTTTTTGCCTCCTAATTTCGTCGTACTTTGCTTTGGCATTGCCGCCCAGCTACTTTATTTTATTACACTTTATTTAGGGGTTTCGCAAACTTGTGCCCGCACTCTGCTCTGCCGCTCCAACCAGCCAGCCAGCCATTCTCTTTCCCATTACATGTCAGTGCAGCGGCAGCAGCAGAAGCAGAAGCAGCACGTGAGCCGCCAGTGTGAGAGCGAGATGGAGCTTGGCAAGGCAGCCAGCCTTAAATTGGATTTTCATAGTTATCGTTATGCTTACAGTTAAGTGTGTGAGTGTGTGTGTGTGTGTGTGTGTGTGTGTGTGTGTGTGTGTGTGTGGCGCCCATTGTGTGCTTCCCCTGTTATCCCCAAACACTAGTGGGTCTGCGCTAAAAACGATTACTCACCATTGGAATTTATTTCGCATATCATTTTTGACAACTCAATTTATTTTTATTAATTTTAAGCTGAACTGAGAGCGCTCTCCTGCTCTCGCTCTTGCTCTCTTTCCCTTGCACACACAAATGCCGCTCCCACCCAGCTACACACACAGACTCGTAAGTGAATTTCAGTTAATTTATTATCGAGCATTATTATTGCCTTTATTGTTATTGCTAAGCTGACGTCGTCTCTGCTCCTGCCGGATTTGGATTTGTGCGCCATCTCCATCTCCAGCTCTCACTCCCGCACTCCCTTACTCCCCAATGGCCGCCGCCATGGCAATGATTATCATTACCATGACGATGATGATGATAAGGATGCTGCGCCTGCTTGGCCTGATCCATTTATTATTGTTTGCGATTGGGTCGTTGGCCACAATTACGAAATGAATTTGTTGCCGTAGCACGGCACGGCACGGCACGGCATGGCTCGGCAAGGCATGGCTCGGCCTTCTCGAGCACCCATTGCCCATTTCCGTTACATTGGCTTTTCGGGGCGTAGCGCTTATCTGAAACTATTCTTTGCACAATAGTTTGTGGGTGTTGCCTACTCGCTCAGCACTGCTGGTAGTCGGATTGGAAGCGAGATGTTGCAGCGCCTGCTGCCTTCTGCCTGTCAGGCTCACAAATTGGCGCGCTGATTTATGAGTTTGTCTATTGTGTGTAAGTTCTGCCATTAGTTTGTGTTTCAGTTTTATTAGTATTTCATTTCATTTCATTTTGCTTTATTCTATTTGGTTGCTTCATTTTTCTTGTTGGTTTTAGTGGAATTACTTGCCTGAATAATGAATGCTACTTGGGCGCCTAGTTCTGTTTGTTTCTCGATATGACACGTTGCAGCTAAAACTTGAGCTGACATGACACTCAGATAAAAACATTTCATATTATTTATTACACTAATAGATAACAACAAACTGCCACTCTGCTGGGCCACATTAACTAGTCTTAACAAAACTTGTTTTGTCAATGATTATTATTTAATTGTGGCTGCAAAGCACTAAAGTGCCAGCTATTTGAAGAGTATTAGAGTATACATATTTACAATAAATCAGTTTCCGACTGACCTGCCTGAAGCAGCTACTTAATCCTGCATTAGTTATAGTCAAAAGATATGTAATGTCGCAATTAAGTTTGTTTCACTTCCTATTTCTTGAACTAATTAATAATAAATGCGATAAAAATTTAAAAAATAAAATGTAAAGTTTTAGTTTAATGCAAAAGAAGCGTAATAGTGTCTTACCTTTAAAAACAAACACAACTTTTATTATTTTCGTTATTGTATTTAATTAATACAGTAGTACGGATCAATCAATACAATAATAAAGAATAAATGCAAGTTTGGAGAACAATTAGAAAGCGTTGACGAGGAACCCCATTCAAGACAACTGAAAACATCAACTTATTATTAAAGAACTGATGCTCCAACGTCGTTGATTAACAACAAGAAGCATTACTATTGCTGTTGGCTTTTCTAATTATTCAGTTAACACAATTTTTTTGCCTGCTAAATGTTCAATTTCGTTTGGTTCCACTGCACTCGTCCTTCGTAGCCATTTCGGCAAAAACTAGACGCATATCATTCCATAACCACCGTATGCCTTGGACTTAGCTTCTGGTCTGCTTTAATAAATTTAAAAGATCACTCCTGGAACTACGTTTTGGCACGATTAAGCCGAATTGAAAAAGGTACTGAAGGCCATTTCAGAAAAGAACATTTCGGACTGCTTCGGAATTAATTGCTTTTGAAGGCGCTTTAACAAAGTTTAGTAAATAATAATATAAATAATAATAAATAAATAAATAAGTTATGACCCGAACAACCGGGTGATATTTGTAGTATTTAGGTGGAACAATAAATTTATAGATTTTTTGAATTGATTCCAGAAACTACTCGTAAAGATATCATATAAAAGAATATCAAACTAATATAAACCTTACTGTGCAACCATAGGAATGTCGTATTATCGATTTCCGACTACTTCATTAAAAGTGTGGAGGCCTCAAAATGCCCTCAAATTACGCTTCGAACCGCCAAGTTTTCAAAATGTACTTTTAAAAGTAGTTAGTGTTGCATTTAGTTTGCCTTTTAGTTACAATTTAAGGAACCCAACCAATGATATAAGGGAGTGGACTTATATGATCCAAAAAACCTTGCTATTGATCTATTTTCTGCTCAAATTTCCACTTCAATGGTCTCTGCAGTGATATATGTGCATATCTCTGATTGCAACGACCATCCTTAGCTTAACCATTCGCATTTGCCAGCACCTCCCCCCTCTGCCCTCCTATTAAACACTCCAGCACATGCATGGGCGCCATTTGCCACGTTTATTGCTTTCCCTGATACAATTTTCTCCATTTTGCATCATTAATTTTATAAATGAAACTTTGGCCAAACGCAAAGAGGAGACTGGCAAGGAAAAAATGAAAGGAAGTAGCGCCAAAGCAAAGCAGCAAAGTGGTTCTTACGACCACCAGCCCCCCATCTCGTTTGGGGAGTGGGGTGGGGCTATAATTTGCAGCAGCAGCCCCAACACCAGCCCAACCGGCAGCCGCAACGCGCGTCCGCAGAGTACCGTTTATTAAGCGTAAAATGTGAATGATGTTGCTGCTCGTGGTCGTCGCTGACGTCGTCGTCGCTGCTGTCTCCGCAGCAGGATGCAGGAGTGGGAAGGAAGAGCGTAAAAACGCAACGCATAAACGCCCAGCACTCACTTGGCCTGGCCAGCAAATGGGGCCCCACTTTGTCTTTTGTCTAGGGTGGGAGCTGCAGCCTCAGCAGCTCGAGCCGCTGCGCTTCCTGGGCCGGGAACTGGGCCCGGCTTTGGGTGAAATTTATGTAATTTATATGGGCACTTGACTGTCTAAATTGCCTGCGGCGCACAGCCACAGCATTTCTTAGCCTGCTCCTCTCTTCTTCTCCTCTCTTTTTTTTTATCATATACTTAGCTTTAATGGAAAATAATTAATTTCATGCTTCCGAGTTTCGTGTCGCACACACACACACAGCCCAGCGGCCACTCTCAACGCGCTGCGCGGCCATTTGTAAAGGCCATTTGTGCGGGCGCGGGTGTTGTTGGAGGGGGGGGGGGGGGGGGGGGGAGCGGCCCTAGAGTCAAGGAAATGGCCGCAGCAGCTTCCACACGTACGATATTACGTATACGTAACAGCACGCCTACAGTTTAGAGAGCCAGCAGGCGGCTGTGGCCCAGCACCAGGGCCCCTGCCCCCGCCAGGGCCCCCAACCATTTTCAATTTACAAATTGCTTATTTTTCGAAAACCAAATTGCGAGTGCCTTGCATCAGGCCCAACACCAGCCGCAGCTAAAGCCACAGTCATAGCCACACCAGTAACAGCAGCAGAATCAGCATCAGCATCACCATCAGTAACTGTTACTGTAACAGTAGCAATGGCAGCAGCAACAACAGTATCAGCGGCAGCGGCAGCAGCAGTTAATGCATTTTACGTGGGGGGCTCTTCAACTGGGCGTGTGTTTGTGTTCGAAACACTCAGAAAAAAGAAATTCTTAAGACTTCTTCTTCTGCAAATAAATAGGCATAGCTGGAAATCAACAGAAATCTTGCATTGTAGGGATATAAAGTAGCAATCGAGTAACTTATTTGTGTAGCAAGTAGCTGTCAAAATAGCAAACGAATTTTAAAAATGGGTCCAATGGAAAATGCAACCAATAACAACAATCAAGCAGGCAACGCAGTGGAATTACGAAGTATGAAAAAACTCTGCACTAGCTATTGAATACCAGAAATAAATAATGTGACGAT